AAAAATGGTAAACGCAATAACAAAATAGTAAATGAAATAACAAAATAGAAATATGTCTCATCTTCAACAATATTTTGGAAAGTTTTCAATGGTGTTTTTAATGGAGATTCAATAGAGTTTTTAATGGAGGTCTTCAATGGAAGATTTTGTTTTCACTTCACTTCATACTGTGATCTTGAATGGTTTTTTATATGGATTTACAAATTTGAAAGCAAGGTCACTGAACAAGTGTATGGAAAGAAGAGTTGAGTGGTGTATATAAATGATTATGAATGAAGGGTATAATTGTAACTTTTAATGTGTGGATTGAAAAAATTAAATTAATAAGTGTGTATATTAAGCGAAGATGTGTACTAAAATAATTAAGTGTGTGGAAATAAAATTTCCCTAACAAATGTGTATGACTTGTTTTTTGCCTTAAATGATCATTTTGCCCTTGCTATAGAATCAAGCTATCGGTAAGTTGAAAATGTGGTCCAGATTTTTGGTGTTGAATTTTTTACTTTTTGCCGCTTCTGCCTAAAAATCAACTTCTCAAATGTGGTCCAGATTTTTACACTAAGACTAACCATTGAACAATTGAATCTAAATCACACGTATTTTTCCAATTCATGATAGAAATTCTGGACACCTAATTTTATTGGTACCTGAAAATGTGCTCAAACGTGTCGTTATACGACAGAACAAGCCTCCCTGTGGCAACATCATTAGGGGTGGTGCGCTTTCGGATCTGCCACGGGTTGTTTGGGTCGGGCAGTGGTGGTGGGTACAAGTCCCTTATCTCCACCAACACACGGCTCACTTGGAATTGTGTGTTGGTGGCCTTTGCTGCATCTTCTTCAGCTTTGCTTGGAATGAGGTTGAAGAACAGAGTTTTCTTCATGGTGCCAAGCAATGTATCATATGGTTGGCTCCTGGGAAAATTTAGAGTGGAGTGTTATGGGATTTATAGGAACCGTTACTTGGTACCGGAAAAAAAAGTTGTAAATGTGGGTTTTGTTTTGTGTGAAAATATTTATTTTCTTTCCTATTTATGTATTAGAAAGCAGATTGTCTTTAATTATTTAGGTAATCTCATCCCTTGTAAGAAATAAAATATTAAATTTTTAAAAAAAATTTATAACATTTTTTAAAATATCACATCATTGTTGTGAGAGAGATTATAAATTAAATATGATATTTTGTCTTATTAATTATTTTAATATATTTTATTTTTTGATGAGTTATTTTAACCAAACTCTCTTCCTTATTTGGAAGAGAATTCACAACGAAAGACATGCCTGTAATCTAGTACTTTGCTTGTGTGAACAAGAATCCATCCGTGTTTATTGGCTATAAAATAAATATAAGTATTTATAACATCCAGGCGTTTTTAGTAAGTAATAATAGATTTACTGAATATTTACTTCAAGTAATAAATGATTTTCTGGTTTAATGGTTTCTAGTAAGGGCTATTTGGGTAATAGGTTAAAATACACACACAAACAAAAACAAGAAAACAAACAAACAAATTATTACCAAAAAAAAAATTAACTATTTTTTTAAAAAAAATTATGGACATTTTTTTTCGTAAAAAGGTCCACCCACTAAAATAATTAATTTTTAAAACAAATATTATTTGAAATATGTGGTTCATTTATTACAGAAGACCTGAGATTATGGAAAGTTAGGGTCCTTTTAGACTGGAAATAACTAGTGTATCAACCCTAGCAATGATATTATTATTGACCCCACTCATTAATTATATTATAAATTTTAAAAAAAATTTAAATTCTGTCACATCATCAATTGGTATATTAATTAGTATATCAATTGGTACATATAGCAACATTCAAAAAGATAACATATGCGAAAATAATTAATATGACAAAATGTTATATCCAACTTATAATTATTTATTTTTTCTCTCACAGTCATCAAATCAACTATAAAAAAAATTAATTATTTCCCAAATATAACTATTTTAACCATATTAAAATAGTCAAAAAATTAAATAGCTAATTAAAATAACTAACTTTCCAAATAAGGCCAAAGTTTTAGATCATATTTTTAGTTAGGGCAAATTACACAAATAGTCCCTATAGTTTGGGGTTGTGTCACTTTGGTCCCTGACTTTTCAATTGTGACACATTTGATCCTGAATTTTGAATGTTGTTCTAAATAAGAACAATTGAAGATATGATTAGATTTTTCAAGGGTAAAATTATCAATTTGATAAAATATAAACTAATTAATATTTTTGAATTTTTAAAAATTATTTCTACCTACTAAAAATAAAATTATGTAAAATTGATAAATCTTTTAGACATTTATTTATTTTTTTACCAAATTAATTTTTATTATGTGTTTGGATGATGATCATGTAAAATTAATTTTAAAAAATTAATCATGTAATTTTTATTAATTTTACATAATTTTATCATCGATGGATAAAAATAATTTTTAAAAAATTAAAAATATTTTTTTGACATTTATTTTTGTCAAATTAGTTTATATTTTATCAAATTGACGATTTTACCCTTGAAAAATCTAATGATATTTTCAATTGTCCTTATTTGAAACAAGATTTAAAATTCAGGGTCAAATATGTCACAATTGAAAAGTCATGGACCAAAGTGACACAAGCCCCAAACTACAGGGGCTATTAGTGTGATTAACCCTTTTAGTTATGGTGGGATAAAAGATAATAACATATGATTATTTTTTACAGCAGACATATATGAAATATAAGAGCATCTCCAATGGTGTTTGCTAAAATAGTATTACTATTACTATAATTTGGCAATGAATAATGTTATTTTGCCAAATTATAACAATGGTGATCCAATGGTCACATGTTATTTTGGCAAATCTCAACCAACTTTCCCTCCAAGTTTGTAGGTGTTGTTTGAATATAGGTTTTTTAGTATTTTTTTTTTTGTTTTTTGTCTTTTGTGGCCTTTTTTTAATTGTTTTTTTTAAAAAAAAAATTATATATTTACATTATTTCCGACAAGACAAATATTAAAAATGAAAAAAATATTGAAAAATTGAAAAAAAAAATTAAATATAATTCACCTCATCAAAAAAACATACCAATACAAGATTATACTAAAAAATAGTCAACATTATACATTGCAAAAATAAAATTATATTGGAACATAAAAATACTAAAAAAATAAATAGACCACTACATTACATTACAAAATAAAAAAGACATTGCAAAAAAAAGACTAACAATTACATTAAAAAATAAATGACTTTGCGAAATTAAAAAATACATTCTTCAGTAATTATTCATCAGGAGGCAATGGAAAATAGTAATTTGGGTTGCTGACATGTGCAGACCACTTAGTGAAAATCTCATTTTTTTGCATTGCGTAATACGCTTTCATCTAAAGGTCCAAATAAGAAATGTCCGTAGTTTTTTTTTTTTTGGTGGGTAGTCATTATCAAATGTTCTTCCTTTTTGATCTCATGTTCATGTCTTTGGATCTCATGTTCTTGTTTTTTGGTCTCAAGTTCTTTCATCTCCTGCAGTGCTTGAATCCTTTTTTCTTCTCTTTCCAGCTTTTTTGTTTTCCTTCTCAACAAGGTGTTGGTTTAATGTCTCTAATTGTATGCTCCTTTTTTGGACTTCAACTTCAACGACTTGATTTCTCCGAAATAATTCTTTTGCAGCTTTCCTACCCATAGGCCTTTTACCTCTTGCAAAGACACTACCCTCACCGATTTGATTATTACCAACAGTTGGATTGTTATCGAAACTTGGACTATTGTCGTCTTCAAGAGAAATGCAGTTATCCATAGGGGAATCAGGAGCTGAATTAGGCGAAAACAGTATATGTATCATTGACTTCACTGTATTCGTAGGAGCTAAATCTTACCATCTGATATTGTTTTGCAAGATTAGCCAACAATGTTCAAAAGCAAAATGTTTGTTTTCATCTTAATAGTATAACAGTTTTGCTTGAAGCATATATATCAATAAAGTATTGAATTAATTAATTATTTAATTTTATATAAGACAAAAAAAAAACTAACATAATAAATTAAAATGAAATCTTACTATACCAATGTGAGACATCCTACTTGGGTGTAGATTTTCGACTCGCGCTAAACACTCATGAAATTTGTTGCAACATTTCATGATTACACCCCATCAAGATGAGATAGACACTTGTGTTCTTGAGTGATCATTCTGTAACGAACAATAATTTTCAAAAATTCTTCTCAAAAAATGAGCATAAGATTACGAATTCCCAACAATTGGGTCTTCAGTAATGTGACACCAAGCTCTATAAATTGACATATCTTCTTGAGTGGTGAATGATTTTTCTCTCTTTATATTTAATGAACCTTCCATACTGATTGTGTGAAAAATAGAAAAGAAAAATATAATTGAAAGAAAAATTGTTGTTGTGAACTCAAATTGGTGAAACAAGGTGTGTGTATTTATACTACTCAAATTGAAAGAAAAATAGCAGTTTATTATAGTTGTTGGTGTCTTGTCTGTTTGTAAAAATAGTCGTTTTTTTACTTTCAGATTGAAATAGAGCCGTTAGGGTCATGTTACACATTCCAAGACACTCTATCTCTCATTTCCAACTGCTGAGATCTCTATTGTCTAGAATCATCTTCCTCTATCTCTATTCTATATAATCATCTTCCTTTCTCTATTCTCTAGATACTCTATGTCTCTTTTCTCTCTCTATATCTTTTCTCTCTCCATACTGATTGGTGACAATGCAAGCTCCTTCCCACGATGGGAACTTCTCTCTCTGCTCTCTGTCACTGCCAATCGCAGCCATTTACCCTTACCCCTCTCTTTATCTCACTTCTCTCTCTCTCTCTCTTATACAACCCGATGTCGTTTGCTAATCGTCGCCGTTTGCCAGATCTAACTCCAAACACCATGTCCATACCTATATTGGCCTCCTTTTTCTTGTTTCTCTCTCTAGTCTCTGTAACTTCCTCAGTTCCCTTTGAATCAATCGATCTTCCAAACTCCTTTATCATCCATGTCTCAAAATCTCATAAGCCCACCTGCTTCATCTTCCATGAACATGGAAGACCACTCGCTGAAGCCTTACATCCCTAATACAGATGCTTCTCTTTCCAACCACGGACGAGGTGGACCTTCCATTGATGCTCAATTTGCTTATTTTTGCAAGGTTTCTTCTTCTTCTTCCTCTTGTTTCTTGTTTTATTTTCTTCCCTCTAATTTTCACTTTCATTTACTAGTAATTTTTCTTTATAAAGACTTTTGTGTGTTGATTTTCAAATTTTCCCATCTATAATGAATGTTCTATTTTTGATTTGGGTGTTGTGATCTAATCACAGACTAGATTGTCATTGAATGAAAACACTTACGCAGAGGCTATGAAACTGTTTAGTGAAAGCAAACATCTTCTATCTACAATTATTTTTGTTATCGGAACTGGAACGGTGAATTCTCCTCCCACATTTCTGTCAAGTATTTTTTTTTTTTTTTTTGTTTTCTTTGTTTTTTTTTTTTAAAGCCCCTGTCTTTAAAATTTTTTAGTTTTTTTTTTTTTTTTTTTGACTTCATTGTGTTTATTTTCTAATTTTTTTAAATTTTTTTGACTTGAAATTGCTGAAATTGAAATTTTGCTAGCTTACTTCTGTTTGAAATTGTTCAATTTTGGGTGAAATTGGGTGAAAATTGCTTCTGTGTTTGAAATAAGGTGAAAATTGCTTTGTGTTTGGAAAGGATGATGAGAGAGGAAGGGAGGGAGGGCGAGAGGAAACAGTTGGTTGAAGCTGACTTGGCAGCTACATTTGCCAAAGATAACAGCTACTAAAACTTACCATTGGAGGTGGCTTTTTATGAATTGCTGCCATAATTTAGCAATAGCAACTCTAATGGCAAGCCATTGGAGATACTCTAAGAATTTAGAGAAACTTATCTCGGACAAATTTTTTTTAAGAAAACAATAAAATTAGGGGATAATGGTTGGTTATATATATATATTAATTATGATAATAAGGGTTGTTTGGGATGATTTAAATAAGTATATTTTTTAACTTTTTATGAAAAAAATGTACAGAAAAGTAAAGAGGTAATATGACTTAAAAAAGATAAAAAGATAAAAAAAATGTACTAATATAGGTTACCCCAAACATTCTTTAAAGATTACAAGATTATAAGTTAGTAGGAGACGCAAAGACGTGGTTTTAATCAGTGTGCTTGGTTTGAGTTTTTTGAATTAAATTTTTTGAAAGTTAAGTTTTTTTATTTTCGTATTTTTTTATTTTTAGTGAATATTTTTAAATTTTTAAAATTTTAAATATTTTTTTTTACTTTTTAGATGCACCTTACTTAGATGTATCTAAAAAGTAAAAAAATTGTGAAAAAATATTTTAAAAAATTAATAAATACATAAAAATATAAAAAATGTACTGAATTCTCGTTTTTTTTTTTTTTTGTATTTTGGGTATTTAGTGAATTTTTAAAAGGTTTTCTTCACAAATTTTTTACTTTTTAGATACATCTAAGTTAGGTATGTTTAAAATTTTTAAAAATTGCTTAAAATATTTTTAAAAATCAGTAAAAACAAAAAATACGAAAAATAAGAAAGTAGAATTTTTTGAAAAGTACTTTTTGAAAAGGGAAACCAAGCATAGTGAATCTCGTTTGTAATTTTTTTTTGGTTAATTAGTGAATGCTCTTACTATTACTTTTCATGGGTAATGTTATGGTACATGTCTTTCAAAATGTGTCACCTTGTTACATATATTTATGGTAAATAGTAGAAGTTATGATAATTTGTATTTCATAAATAAAGTTATGCATTTTATAATAGCGCTACGCATTTTTGTAATAGTATTACAAAATATGTAATATTATCACAAAAATGTATAATTTCATTTTTAAATTACAAATTATCGTAACTTCTATTAAAAAAATATGGATTGTTTTGAAAAGTTAGTTAAAAGCTGATTTTTTGACTTTCTTTTAGTTTTTTTTTTTCAAAAATTGTGTAAAAAAATAAAGAGCTGATATGATCTAAAATAAATTAAAAATTAAAATTTAATTTTTAACTAAGTTTCCAAATTAAACCTATGTAATATTTATTAAAAAATGCCTAACACACCACAACAACGCATAACAAGGCACATATGGTATAGAATTTCCCTATCCTCCAAACCATGTTTGACCCTCCCAATGTCACTGTCAAACACTGACAACAATATAGAATTTCCCTTTCCTCCAAACCATATTTCATATTTATAGGTTCAATCAGTAATATGGTAAGTAGGTATGATATCACGAAATATAAACCAATTAATAACATAATCAAGTAAATTAACAATATAAAACCCGTGGTGCTATAAATCTAGAATTTCCCCCAATAAATTTACCCAAATGAAGGAGGTAATTTGTTTTAATTTTATTTGTCTTAAGAAAAATAATTTATTTTTAAAATTATACTTGTGGTTGATTTTTATTCTTTTTTTTATATATATAAAAATAGTGATTGAATTGAATCAACTCAATTTTTTATATAAATAATATTCACATTAAAACTTTAAAAAATACAACCTATGGTGAGCGGTGATGGGTCGTTGAACACACCAAAATTAAATACTAAATTATACCAAATTCAATCAGAATAATGGCAAGTCCAGGTATCGATCCACAGGGACTATTGTGAAATTAAACTAATTTAATTGTCAAATTCCTAAATTAATTTTGATAAAAAGATTGGTTGTTTATAACCTAATTTAATAACGAATAAATTAAACTAATGAATTAAATTATCAAGAATAAATGAAATTGGATTTACTAAATTGGGGAAAAATCCTAGGGTAGAGAATTCACCACTAACCACATAATTAGGGATTCCAATTGAAATTAATTATGCTATGGTTTGAACGAATTAATGCTTCGCAACTACAAGCTCAAAGCATTTAACAAGAAGATTATCACATTCAATGTACGAGCACGAACCATCTTAAGTAATACGAATCGTTCACTCTAAACTAGGGTAGTGATATGACTCGTTCCTCGTAGTATGGTTCGTCCCATACCTTGAATGTGAAGGAATAGAAAACTCATGTATGGATAATATTCAACAATCACAGAAAGTCAAATATTTGAAAAGATAATGAAAATTATATATAAAGAATTTCTAAAACACCATACAATGGTTCAAACCTTACATAATATAAAATCAAAAAAGAAAACTACATAATTCAAGTACAACCCAAATCACGCTAAACCATTTCTACCTTTATTTGACATCCGAAATGAATATAGCACTTTAGAAAATATCGGAATGCCAAACAAGGGTATAATCTTCACGCGAAAACCACGGGTACTACTTTTATCCCTAACTGTGTTGGTAACTTTCCCTATTCTTCAACAGGATGACAGACTAGGTTAATTTGGTATCCAGAATCGAGGCGCATAAAGCTACCTCAACCTATGGGGCTGCCATACAGAGTTCAAGTCGTGGTAGTTTTGAAGCAATCTTCACACCCCTGGGTATTTAAACCAGACTCTAGTCTCGAAAATTCCAAATCTTTGTGTTCTAGGATTTGCCATTCGAACTCTAGTTTCCACTGTCTCAGTTGGTTTCCTAGGAACTCACTACAAACACGGTTAGGTGGCTATACCAGACTGTCAGATACCGTTCGGGCACGGCTAACACCAAAGGAATTACACCTTTAGAGGATTTAAAGTCTCCTAGACTCAAAAGTAATCACTATGGAAGATATATTGGGTCCGTCAAATGGACAACCTCAATTATCTCCCCTTTCTTAATACCATCCACATAATGTTTCAATCTTTGGCCATTGACCTTGAAGGTCGTACCATCTTGTGGGTTTTTAATTTCAACCACCCCATGTGGAAAGACTTCTATAACCTCATATGGGTCATCCCATCGAGACCAGAGTTTACCCGGGAACACCGCAATTTGGCATTAAATAGCCACACTTTTTGGTGAGGCTCGAAGGACTTACGAGAAATATGTTTATCATGAATTGCCTTAGTTCTAGCCTTGTAAATGTTAGAAGTCTCATACGCATCATTGTGGAGCTCCTCTAACTCATTGAGTTGGAGTTTTCGATGGTCACCGGCTTTGGCCATATCAAAAATGAATTTCCTAATGGCCCACAAAGCCCGGTGTTCTAACTCAACACGGTTTTCCAAACACAATCCTATATGGAGACATCTTGATGGGTGTCTTATATGCAGTACGATAGGCCCAAAGGGCATCGACCAACCTAGTGGACCAATCTCTCCTATCGGGTCTCATAGCTTTCTCGAGGATGTGTTTAACCTCCCTATTAGAAACCTCTACCTAACCACTAGTCTGGGGATGGTAGGGAGTGCCAACTTTGTGAGTGATCGTATATTTGCGTACCAATGTCTCGAAGAATCGGTTGAAAAAATGTTTGCCACTGTCACTAATTATGGCACGTGGGAACCCAAAACGACAAAAAATGGGCTCATGGAGGAATTTAACCACCACCTTATGATCATTCGTTCTGGTTGCCACTGCCTCCACCCACTTGGAAAAATAGTTCACAGCCACCAAAATGTATTCAAAGCCAAAAGATGGTGGAAAGAGACCCATAAAGTCAATGCCCCAAACATCAAAAATCTCAACAATTAAAATAGGGGTCATTGGCATCATATCTCGCCGTGACATAGAGCCCATGTGTTGACAATGCTCGCAAGCTCTACAAAAGTTATGGACATCTTTGAAGATAGAGGGCCAGTAGAACCCACATTGCAAAACCTTGGCGGCCGTTTTCTGCCCACTGAAATGGCCGCCACATGCATGTGAGTGAAAAAATGTGAGAATGCTATGGGTTTCACTCTCAGGCACACAACGCCGAATCACTTGATTCGGACAATACTTAAACAATTCTGGGTCTTCCCAGAAATACTGCTTGGCTTGTGAAAAAAATCGGTCTTTGTCTTGCTTAGACCAAGTTTTCGGAATTTGACCAACTGCCAAGTAATTTACTATATGAGCAAACCACGGGAGGGCCGCTTGTGAAACCGCAAGAAGTTGCTCGTTCGGAAACGAGTTGTGCAAGGCTAAGGGATCACTCATGTGCTCAATAAAGATGCAGGATAGATGATCCGCAACTACATTCTCGGATCCCTTCTTATCCCGGATTTCTAGGTCAAACTCCTGAAGGAGTAAAATCCACCTAATCAATCTATGTTTGGTCTCTTTTTTTGATAGTAAATACCGCAAAGTAGCATGATCAGTGAAGACGATGACCTTGGAACCTAGGAGATAGGACTGAAATTTATCTAGGGCAAATACCACAGCTAGCAACTCTTTTTCGGTGGTAGTGTAATTCAATTGAGCATCAGAAAGAGTACAACTAGCATAGGATATGACATGGGGCACTTTATTTACTCTTTGGCCTAAGACGGCGCCGATGGCATAATCAGATGC